AAGGCAGACGCAGTAATAATCTCTCAACTAAGGTGTCGTCTAAAAGAAGAATCACTGCTGAAATCAGAAGATTCATGATTCCATTTGTTGTAGCAGTATTCTATTTTTATTCCCCAACAATCCCTGGTCACTTTGATGCATAATATGTATATGTTCATTTGCAGATATAAAAAGTTAAATGCATAATAGAAACTAAAATAGTTTGATTCAGATAACATTGCAAGCATAGAAAGTCATACATAATGAAGCATTCAACTTTTTTTGCTGTTTGGTTTTACAGTGGTGGAGAAACATGAAGAACTTCTTGTAAATTACAAGAAAAATCAAGAGCAGGTATAAAATTATTTGATTTTATTGAATGTTAAAAATATTTGTTATAAGCAATGGAAATGAAATGGTTGTATATAACTCTGAATTCATGTATGGTCTGTATAGTAGTTTTTAAATGTATTTATTTCTATATAGAGGGGCACACCAGTTAATCCTAAATTATAATCACAATTGTTAAATTATAGCACACTGAATATAAAAAAGAAACCAATAGAAAAGAAGACTCTCTTATAAAACACAGGACACTTAAGGTTTTGGCAGCAATTGACATGAAACAAAGAATGTTGTTTCATGTTCCAGCATTCAATCCTGTCTGTGATAGATCATGGATTTGGAATGCTTACCATATCAAAGTGTCAGCTGTTGAAACTTGAATACATACAGAATGAAGCCATGAGGGTAATTCTGCGATGTACAAGATTTACCCTGGCAGTATGTGTGCGATATATACTTGCACTGCCAACTATTACAAGCAAAGTCATATTTCAAAGTAGCCACAGAAAAGAAACACTTCCCGCATGAAGCGGTAGACAGAGCTAAGGGTCAAAGACTGAAAAGGGGAAGGTCTTGGATGGTGCAAGCTAAAGACACAATTAGACATGTGTGTAGGCTTGATAACATTCAGCGCGGAGAGAAGTGGGTCATCATGACCCAGCAAAAGTGAGAAGTGTATGGTTCTGATCACACTGAGCTATAAGTGCATGGACTGGCCAATGGGCACTGCAGAATCAGAAGTTCAACAATTGATTCATGACATTTCTTGCCCAGGTGATGTAATAAACTGCACAGATGGCTCCATGTTGAGAGGCAGACGAAGCCCATGTGGTTTCTTAGCAAAAGTGAATGGATGTCGCCTAATGCAACAAAACCTGGCATGTGAAACCACAACATCTAGTTTGAGAATGGAGGTGGAGGCAGAAACTGCAACCTTTCACTGGCTTGAGACTCGGCTGTACACACATGTCATAGTTAGTTAGTTAGTTAGTTGGGTTATCCTCATTGCACTCCGGACATGTCCATAGGTGCTCAGATCCTCCCCTCAGTATGAAGCCCAACGTCCGATGGCTAATAGTACCAGTTCTATGTTGATTAACAAGTCTTCTGGCGTAGCTGGTGTGCGTCTCGTTTTTTGCTGTGCCGATCTTAATTCCCAAGTCTGCCATTCTGGCGAGTGATGTGGATTCACTGCCACCAAAGTCGTCTATCCTTCCCATTTCTCTGAGGGCATTGATAATATCAGCATGATCCATAGGCTGACCGTCGGTAGTGATAGCGGATCCAGCCAACCTGTCAGCTCTTTCATTTCCATCGACGCCTGCGTGTCCCGGAACAAAAATAAAGGTGACTCCACGGACAGTGGACTTCTGTAATGATTCAAGCCATTGTCTTCGCACTGAACCTGCCTGAACCCTCCGGATCATAATCATTGAATCACTGAGTATACACACGCGGGTGTATTTTTGTGTTTCAAGCCAGGCAAGCGCTTGTGTCACTGCCATCACCTCCATCGTCATGCTGCTGGTTGTCATGGAGAAGGCGCCGTTGGCTTCTTTGACTGTTCTGCCCGCTGAGCGTGCTGTAAATGCCCATGCGCTTCTTCTTTGGCGTATAACGGATCCGTCTGTATAGATTATTTGCATCTGCTTAGTCTGAATTTTCACCGATGAGAGCGTTGACCTCTGCATTAACAGCAACAGGATTCTCTTCTCTACATCGCCTGTTGAGTGTGACAATACAGGAAAATGTACAAATAAACGCCTGAGGCACAGGTATCCATTCTGCACCAGGTATGATGTCGGTTAGGCTGCATATTTGCCTAATAACATCTTCTGCCCGACCTAGCCACGATTTCCCCCTCTTCAGTCTGTCGCCCTTTTCACTAAAAAGCGCTTGATGCAGTGGGTGTTTCTTATCAGCACATATTTTGAGATATGCCCGAGCCCTCCACATCTTGATCCTTTGGTTCATTGTTGGAAAGTCAAGTAGATACCTCATTGCTCCACAGGATGTGTCTCTAGTACATCCCAAAATAATGCGCATGGCTTCATTTTGCACCTTTTCGAGTCGTTCAATCTGGGTAGCACTGACAGTGAGGATGGCCAGAGCGTATTCAATGGGGGAAAGGACCAGACCGTAGAATAGAAGTATTAGTAGTCTTTTGCTCAATGTTGGAAGCAGCCATAATCCTCATTGCAGATAGACCTTTGCGTGCTTTTGTTATCACATGGTCAACGTGTTCCCTGAATGACAAGCTGCGATCGAACCTCACCCCGAGAAACGTCATAACGTTGGTTCTGATCAATACATTATCACGCATTTTCACTTCTGGTAAGTCCGACTTGACAATGTGATTGTTCAAAGAGAACCATGACACTGATGCCTTCGAAGGATTGACATAGGCATTGGAACCATCACACCAGGCGGCAATTCGATCGAGTTCTTTGTGCATAGTGCTGGCGATCTCCTGTCTATCACGCCCTCGTCGATAAATCAAAATGTCATCAGCAAATGACAAAGTCCTCCCCTTTCCATTCAACTGCTGCTCAGTGATCATCACCGTATAAACGTTGAATAAGACTGGTGATAGCGGTGATCCCTGTGGCAAGCCTGGACATATCGTTTGCGGTTCTGAGGACCAGCTACCACATCTTAGTACAATCTTTCTCTGGAACAGGACCGCAGCAATCCAGCGGATCAGAATAGGATTAACTTCTAGTTTAAGCAGTAATTGCATTAAATAATCGTATGGTACTTTATTGTAGGCATCTTCTAAGTCCAACACTGCCGCACATGTCTCTTCTTTAATCTGAAATCCCTCGTACACATCGTAGGCGAAAAACTGCAGCATTGAACCATGTCTCTTTATTTAACCTGTACCCTCCAAGTGTTGGTGGGAACTTATCATGTAGTTCCAAGTAGGTGGTCAATCTTTGTGCGACAATTTTTTCCAAAAGTTTGCCAACAGTATTCTGCATCGAGATGATTCTGTAGCCACAGATCTTCGAGTGGTCTTTATTAGGCTTTGGTAGTGGGAACAAATAACTATGGAGCCATTCCTCTTGTATCTGGCCACTCTGAATGCTGATATTGAATTCATTTGCCACGCTTTTCAAATCAGCATTCGACATCATCAGCATGTCGTTGTATCGGATGCCGTCAGGGCCTGGAGCAGTGCTGCGCGATTTCTTGAGGCAAGTTCTTAAGGTATCTGCAGTGATTGTGAGATCAGTGCCTAGCACAGTGTTCTCGCACAGCATCGACAGTTTCATCTTAACCCCTATTCTTGTAGCTTCGTCTTTTTGGTCAGTTTGCTCCAAGTAGCGCGCCAGAAGGGTTTTTCCTTTATCAGCATCAGTTCTCTGCCATATCAGGTCTGTACCCTGAAAATCAGGGATACCCCTTGGTCGTGCGGCGCCGTGCATGCTCCGTTGAAGGCGCCAGAATGTCACAATTGTAACCGACTCACAGAATATGTTGAGAAAGGTTTAGACTGGTATGCTCCGTGAAGAGTGGCAAGCATCCCTTCATAGGTCTCGGGTTGTTAGTGTCCTTTGGATATCTTCCCCAAGATATTATATATATATATAGACACACTTCTTGAAATATGTTAGTAGTAAACAGCAGTATCCTGTCCAACCCTTATTCATTTCTTGACATTAATTTTCTTATAACCTAGAAAACAAATTTACTTTAGTAACATTAAAACCAAAACAACCTCCTCCCACCCCCACCCCCACCAAAGTTACAGGGCTTTGTCTTTTCCAGAAAAAAAGATGCAGGTACTTACAACAGTGTCTGAAAGTGCTGATACTCATCACAGTATTACAGTAAAAGTAAAGGACCCTTTTTGATGCCATTAAGGCGTATTGTGTATATATATATATATATATATATATATATATATATATATAGGGCTAGACCTGTATTTCATAGACCAAACGGCACTTGGTGGGTGATGTGGTCAGCATCACACCGGCCACCTTTACTAGGCTGGATCGACCTGGGAGCCATGGTCACTTTTGAAAAAAGTCCGGCCCTCGTTAGGAAACTGAACCCACGACCTTCCAATCCACAGGTGCGCTTTTAGCCGCTTGACCACGGCAGCTCTCACAGTATTACATTGACTGCAAATTTAAAAAATATGCTAAAAAAGGTGCGACTACTGCTTATGACACACATAAAAAAGGTCATCTTATTCATGGGGGCGTCTTATAAATGAAAATCTTTGGTAGATTCTTCTTCTGCTTCTTCTCTTCCACCTTGTACCTCAGTGGCAGATGGTAGATTCACTCTGTTTATAGATGGTATTTTTTTTTAAACACTGTCCTCTTGTTTGCAGTATGTGAGCTTGGTCCAGAAACTGAAGGATCAGGGTGAACAGATTAAGAAGGCAAAATTAGGTAAGATTATAATAATTTATATGTTTTTTAAGAGAATTAAAAAAAAAACATTTGTAAACACAAATCTACCATTTACTTTTATAATTAAATGCTTTATAGTTTTTGACAATTGCTAATATATCTAAAGTAAGAAAAATTAGCAAAAAGAGTTGTGGCCACAGACAAATAAAGTAAATAATATTGCAAAATTACCTCACTAAGATGGAGATAATTCAGATTTTAAGGGCTTCATAGAGAACAGACTGATTATATTATGTTTTATTTTCACAGTTTTGGAGCCTGTCACCCAAGAATATCAAGCCCTGAGGGATAAGTATGAGATGGCAATCCAGTGTCAGTATGAAGCTGAGAATTATGCTTCAAAAGTAAGTTGCAGACTTTGTGTATCTGAATGTTTTTTTTTTTTTTAGCGTTATGGTGCATGCATATGCAAACTGTATATGCTGTGAATATTTATTTAATTTAACCATTTTTAAACACAAGAACAGTACATTCAAACATTTATATTTATGTATTTTTGGATAACTGTGTTACAAATACTTCAGAAAGAATACATTTGCAGATGATATTGTTCTCTAAATAAGAAAAGCAACAACATGCAAGAAAAATTGGGCTACAAATAAATTATGAAAAGATTATGAAGACACAGATAACAAACAGGTCCTGCAGATGTAACATGGAGACAAAAAAAAAATTACGGTAACAGAACAGTTGACTTATTTAAGTAGTAATCTTGATTGTCAAGAAAACAAAGAAATTAGGATGTACACTGGCAAAGCCTCAGCAACCTGTAAAAACATTAACAAAATATTGAACTCTAACTTGTATGGTTTTATAACCGAATAATGTGTTTTCGGTTAGAATTTTTTGTTTCTTTCAGTTTTAACATATGCCACTGAAAGTTAGAGAACAACAGACATGAAACAAATGTTAAATGCATTTGAAAACACACGCACAGTGTAATGTTGTGAATTCCCGGGCAAATCCCAGAGAGTTCCCGATGGGGAGGACAAGGTCGGAGGACCAGTGATACAAGATAAAAACGAGATAAGTGGGTCTCGTGTATTCCATGGTGAACAAAGTAAGGGATACAAGAAAAGCACGCAACTGGAACGGAAGACGTGAACCGAGAGACAGGAGTAAGACAGTTGAAGTTCGGACCTGGTAGCGAGAGGTCGCATGAATGGACGCCTGAGAAGAATGAACGAATTGTGAACAATTGTTATATTTCGAGAGGAAGAATGAATGTTTTCCATGTGTCTTGATACCGAGTACAAGGGTTCGTAAAGGATGGATGGATGATTCGAAAGACCCTGATGGATTCATGTAGAGAGTGAGAAGTTCGACCAGGTCGTCAGAATCAGCTATACAGGAAGAACACGAGGACGCGAGAATGTATGCATACGCTATGTTGTGATTCACCGAATAAAAGCATGCAACTCAATGTTCGTTTCTGCTGTGTCGTTACAACTTACTGTTCGTCAGAAAGCAATGTGGCTTACTAAAACATACCCCTAGCAGAGCACATTGCACATGAGGAAAATTGTTAACTCAAAATGTGATGAATTCAAGAAGGGTGAAGAAAAAATGCCTGGGCAACCACAAGTATTAACAGTTAAAGGACATAACAAAGAAAGAAATAATTTAGTGAAGCCTGTAGAGAGATAGGACGTTCAGAGGATTTTGGGAGAAGCACATCCAAATCTTTGTTAAGAGTGCAAGAATTGGGAGTAAAGATTGGCACAGCCAGGGCACAAGAAGCACATCGGACGCACAAGAAATCTTGTCAACCAGCAAAGGACTAGGACTATCAGCCAGGGTACACTGATGTAGAAGTTAAAGGGGTAATCAGAGCACCTATGGATGTATCTGGAGTGCTGTGAATATAACTCAAACCATAACTCATAACTATATTTTAAGACAGATAAGATAGAGCTATGACCAGTAGAGCTATAACTGGTCACATCCTGACAATAAATGATTGATTGATTGATTGATTGGCACCTTTCCATCTTTCCAGACGATAATGTTATATTATGCTATAAGGAGGCATGGGACTCACAGCCCATGGCGATGGTGAGTGTGACTAACCAGACCTGCCCGTGTCAAGAAAAGTCTCCCACAATGATAGCATAGGATTTCATGAACATTGTTGTCAACATTTGTGTTTAATCCGATGACAATAAACAGAGTATCATGAAAAGGCACTGAAATGGGAAATAAGAATGACAGAGGAAAATCAAAGAGAAACCCTGAGGTAAAAATTGACGAGAGAAGCCAGAAGTGCTGGACTGGATAATTAAAATAATTTGTCCTGAGATTTTGCATCGATTAGCAGAAAGAGGAAGAGAACAGTCCAGTAGTAATTGATTCCTTACCCACATAGGGTAGCAGGCTACTTGGTTTAGCCATCATGTCCCCTAAATTATTTGTATACACTTCAGTTAGGTTTGCGAGTTATTCTTTTTGGATTAGCATAAGAACAGTGGCTGTTTGAGTCATTGGGTTTCAAACCTTTAGGCTGCAGTCCCTAATAAAAAAAATATTTTAAAAATCATTAACTAGTGTTTTTCCAACAAAATATTATTTATATTGCTAATTAGAAGAGAAAAATCTGAGTCAGGTAACTAGCTAAGTATCTGTTGGTTGCTATATGCTGTTTTGTGTGGCTCTGTTGCTTAGAGGTTGTGAAGATTATTTCACAAATTCATATGCAACATTTACCACGGTTCGATTTCCTCAATGTTTTTTTTTTGGAAAATAAAATAAACTTGTCAAGAGTTTAAATTAAATTTACCTGTATGGCGATGTTACATAAGGGGCATAAGAATTTTAGAAAGGCTTAGTTGGGGCATGGCACTAAAAAAATGGTTGGGGAAAACTTGAATTAGAAGAAAACTTGAATTAGATAAAAGATAGTCTTTAACTGCAGAAAAACTGAGCCAGTAATACTATTGACATTCCTATATTTACTTCTAGTTGAATCAGAAGAACAAAGTTCTAGCAAGGCAGAGCCAGTTACTAATGAGCAAAGTAGGACAACTGAACATTGTGGAGGTGAATTTTGAGGATGACCCAATTAACTCTGATGAAACTGAGTATCACAAAGGTCTAGACAGGAAAATCAAAGGTAGGAATACATTTATAAGGTACATCTCAATGTTTTACATAAAACACTACTTCCACTTAGTACTGATACCAGCTGTGATCTATTTGTAACCCTTTCATTACCAATTAGTTACTTTAATTTGTTCTACCACTATGAGTTGTAACTGAATGTGTTAAATGTCCCAGTCTGAAGGAGTTGTAAAAAAAAAAACTACTGGACAAATGAAAGACATCAAGTAACCTGGACAGTATGGGTTAACAATAACTCTTTGTGGTGGAATAGAGCAAGAACAATATATTATCTTTGGCGTATGTAAGAAAAGAATGGTGAGTTATTTGAAACCCAAGTAGTTAAACGAAAGTAGTTGCTCTTCTCCATGCCTTCGAAGCATTTTGAGTATATTATGCTAGGGCCATATTTTTATAGGCAAGTCTGCATTCATATTATGCCGGCAAACTTCATTTAATTAGTAACCATGAAAATAGACACCTGTGAAGGGCTGCATAAGTGATCAGAAGAGATAAAATCAGGAATGAAATAATAAGAGAAAAATTTGGCACAGAAACAGCTCTAAATTACGTACAAAAACAAAATCGTATGAGTTGACCACTCAGAGAGAATGTCTTTTGATGCTATACTGTATGAGGAATACTCTAAATGTGCAGAATGATGTAGAGCAAAAAGTAAAACAAGATGGAAAGATAACATCAGAGAGACTCTACAACAGCAATGTGTGTCTATGGTAGAGACAGCATCAGAGCAAGTTAATATTCTACACCTTAGAACAGGACACAATCGACTTCGCAGCCACATGTACACAAAATTTAAAATTGGAGAATCAGCCATTTGCACACGTGGATAGCACCTGAGATAACAGAGCATGTCATGCAAGACTGTCCCAAATGTAACATATCAATATCAAGGCACAACTTTTGGCCAAGAGAAACATCGGTGCAAGTCAAACTTTACGGGTCGCTGAGTGAATTACAAAAGACAGTGAAGTTCATACTGGAGACAACTAGAGTCCATGGCATTTTGTTCCCATAAGTCCGCCTCAATACCTGTATCATTCATGTCCCGCTTGCATACATCTTTATAACGTAGTAGAGGTCGGCCTCAACATCTTCTTCCTGTCTTTAATTCACCATAAAGGATGTCCTTAGGGACTCTGCCATCCTCCATTCTCCAGGTGACCCAGCCACCTGAGCCTTCGTAGACTGAGCATGGAAAAGACTGTTGTAGTACCTGCTCTTTCCAGTACCTCAGTGTTTGTGATTTTGTCCTGCCACTTAATATCAAGTATTCTTCTTAGGCATCGCATGTAAAAGCTATTAAGCCGTCTCTCCTGGTGCAAGTAGGTTGACCAAGTTTCACTGCCATAAAGCAGAGTGCTGAGAACACAAGCCTGATAGACAAGGAATTTTGTTTTAATTGTGAGCTTTCTGTTCTCCCAAACTCTCTTTGTCAATCTGCTCATTGTTGTTGCTGCCTTACTTATCCTGATGTTGATTTCTTGGTCCAGCGATAGTTTACTATTCACTGTGGAACCCAGATAGGTAAAATGGTCCACTGTCTCAAGTTCTTCACCGTCAAAGTAGACTGTAGGTCTGTCATTGACACCTTGCACCATAACCCTTGTCTTCTTTTTGCTGACTGTTAGTCCAAATTCACAGCACGCATTGGCAAAGGCAGATAGTAAACATTGCAGCTCCTCCTCTGAGTGGGTGGTTATTGCGGCATCATCTGCAAACAGCAGCTCTCTGATAAGTACCTTTCTTATCCTGGTTTTGGCCTTCAGATTGAGAATGAATGAAAATACCACCCTCCTGATCTCGAAAAGCATGTGTAAAAAAAAGTGAAAAGTATATTCCAAAGAGGGTAGGAGCAAGTACACACCCCTGCTTCACTCCATTTTTTTTATTAAAAACTCTTCCGATGTTTCACCATCAAAGTTGGTTGTACCTTTCATACCTGTATGAAACGACTCAAAAATACTCAGCAGAGTAGGTGGACACCCAGTCTTCTTCAGTGCACTGAACAGACCTTTTCGACTAACCAAAAAGGTCTGTTCAGTGCAAAGAATGGGTAACACCAATATATTTTGAGTAAATCATGCTACAGAGGCTGCCGGATCAGAAGAGCAGTGTTTTGCATATCTTGTGTATAGGAGCTTGGTTACCACTAATTGACTTTCGTGAACGATAAAGTCTTTTTTTGTTGTTGAACACTTTATAGAACTTCTGGAAGAGAAGAGTGCACTCACGGCTCAGGTGAAGAGTTTATATGAAGATTACCAGATAGAGAAAGAAAGGAGCAACCAGCTGAAAGAGAGGGTATGTTATTGAAACTGATGGCACCAACCATGGATTTCATTCACATTTTTCTGTTGATAGTTGGACTCTTTTCCTTAATATCATGTGTTTCTAATCAATGATGTTTTTTTCTTCATTTTTTTTTTTACACAATAATTTAAGCAGTTTATGATCTTTTTAGCAGTTTTTGCTACATTATGTCAATAAATTAGGTGCTGTCTCCACCGTGAAGGTTGGCTGCAATGAATCTTCAACACACTCAGTCTGTTGTCCCAGTTGTACAGGCAGTTAGACTGCTGCCTGCCCATCTTTTGATGTTGTCCTCCTGCTTGTATCATTGCCTACCTCTTGCTGTCTTGTCTTAAACCTTTCCCTCCACTAGAGTTTTTGAAAGCGTTTTATGTCTTGTAATGTGGCCAAAATATTTCAATTACCTTTTTATTTTATTTATTTATTTAAGTAACTCTCTTTTCATTTGTAGCCATTCCAGAACCATTGTATTGAAAAGTTTTTGTTTCCGTGAAACACAACCTATTCTTCTGTATACCCACATATCCGGAGATTCAGTTATAGTTGCTTGTTCATTGTCCAAGTTTCTGCACCATACAGCAGAATTGAGTATACATAACACTTGACGATTCTCATTTTAGTGTGTTATCTCTTGAGCTGTCAGTAACTTGCACATCATCTTATTGAAGACATTTTAGCCATTCCTATTCTTTTTTTTATTTCATTACATACATCCGGTTTTATTTAGCACAATTCAAATGAAATAATAATATGTTTGAATGTTTAGCATTGTGCAAGCATTTTTAACTTAACTCTTTGAGTCCCAGAGGGTTTAGCATCACAGGCCCAAGAGGTAGTCAAGAGATACATAAAATTGGCGCATCATGCGTTCATTGGGCTTCTAGGCAGTAACCTGTGAACGGATGATGAGTTCCTTGGGACTCAAAGAGTTAAATATGAAATATTAATGTTAAAGAAGTGAATATATGTCTTATTAAATGACTTGTCTAAGTGACAGTTTTACACCATGTTGACTAAAGTCATGAAATGTTATTAGTGAGTGACATTTTTTAAATTAAAAAAAAAATATCTGCTAATCTGTTTTCAAAATGTAATAAAGAAAGTTTGCTAAAAGGGAAAACATATTTATAAATGCAAAGTTTGCCATGACTGACATATAATAATACCCAGTCCTTTATGATCTGTGACATTATAGATTTGTCAGACATATGATTGGTCAGCCAAGTTTCTGAAAAAAAAACAACTTTCTGGCAAAAATAAGGATTAGGTACTTGAAAGAAGAAAGAATGACAATTTTCTTATTTAGTTTAACACTTTAAAACAGGCTTTTTCAATTGCTGTTTTCCCAGAAGTTAAAATGTTATTACTGTTGATTGATTTAACAGCTAGAGGCTTGCAGAGCTGAGCTGAAGGCAGCCAAGAGCACTATAGCAACACAAGAGAGTACCCTACAGCAACTGGCTAAGACTTCTGAGGCTGCCTGCAAGGAATATGAAGATCTACAGAAGCAGTTTGAGCTAGAATATACTGGTCGCACTCAAGTGGAAAAAATGGCTAATAATGTAAGTGAACACATTTTTGTGATAGTTTATTTTGCCTTTTTATTTTAATTATTCTTTCTACTATCGTAGCGTTGCAGAGTTGACAGTTTTGGATTGTCAAGGACTCACAGCCATATGTTAAAACTGGTTGTATGTAGCAAGCAAGAATTCTTTTTCTAACCCTCAGTGACAAAGATATATCATCTTATGGAATATATCAGTGTATACCTAGAAGCTCAAGCACGATCCTTTGTCTCTCTTTACTAACTCTTGGGTCTGTGATAATAAACCTACTGGGACTCAAAGAGTTGAACAACACTCTGTAGCAAGCCAGAAAGAGACATTTAAGTAAACCAGAAGCGCCGGCTTTTGTGCTTTACGGAGCGAGAGGGTTAATATTTTGTCTTTCTTTTCTGCCTTCTTTTTGTTTCTTTTTGCATAACTTAATTGCATAAGATTTTTCATACAAACATGAAGTCCTTGAGATGTTTATCCTACAGACTGGAAGAGAAAAACCACATAACCTATCTCGTTACATGATTTAAGCCCAATGTTTTGATGACTTTTCTGCAGCCCACCAGTGGGTTGAACAACACTGCTTTACAGAGGATCATAAACCAACCTCAGCATTTGTTGGCTGTTTGTTGTTTTACTGAGCACTGTTACATTTATTTTCCTGTTGCTTTCTCAATGGTTTTATGCTTATACCATTGTCAAAATCAGCACAAATCAGCTACAGCTGAATCGAACTTGTTATTCTAGAATTATGAAACTGCATTCATAACCCATTCTCTACTGATGCTGATTTAAGGTAACAATAATAAATTTGTCTGTTGAGTTATGAAACATTTTTAGAGAACAATACTTGTGTGTAATTACACAAATACGTTTATAAACACTTTTTCTTTTGCAGCTTTATGCTGAGAGAGAAGCGGCTCGCCGTCAGAGTGCAATGCTAATGAAAGACATTGGGAATGATAACAAGCTCATGGAAGCATTGATAGAAGTAGAGGATGTTACAACAAAAATGGAAGCAATGAAAGCTGAGTTAGAGAACAAAGTTAGTTTATCTTGATGGAAAACAAAAGTTAATTTTAACTAGTTAATGTTGGGGTACTATTCAGTTTTTTCTCCCCATCTTGTTTATGGCAAGATTTTTTAGGGAATTCCCTGGGACAGATCTACTCTGGAGGGTGGTGGGGTGTTAGGGTGAGGGTTAGTTTTAGTTTCTGTTCATTAAACACTAATCCTAAATCACTACAACTCCTGTATTCTAGGCATGTGATGTGTTGCTTGTTTTCACCATTGTTATCATTTACTGCATCATCATTTCCACTGTGTGTTACTTGTGTTTGTTGGTCGCCCTCACTCTGCTTTGTGTGAAAGCATTGTTCTAACTTTGTGACTTGGCCTTTGACATTAATTTCCTTGACCTGCCAGTATTGTTGTATTTAACCCTAACCCTAAGCTTTGAACAGTCTTCACAGAAAAAACAGTTGTCACTTTCGTCTTGGGAAAAAAAGAAAACTGTGGACTTTCCTGTGGGAGACAGTGTGTTGACCCAGTTGAACAAAGCCAAGACATTTTTTGGCATGTTGTATACGCATAGTGAACGAAGGCATGTCGTGATACCCCTTGAGTATAAGACGGTCCCAGGAAATTCCCTACAGAATCTCGCACCTGACGAGATGTGGTGAAAAAGCTGAATAGTGTCAGTGTTGGCTCATAGTTAACCTTTATGCAACACATGAGGTAACTGTGACTAGTTCATTCATCTTGATGTAATACATGGGTTAATCTGAAGCAGTAGTTAACTGTGATGTAGCACACCACTTAATCTTGATGCAAAACGCTATCTAATCTTGATCACTATTTAATCTGAGTGAAGCCCCTTAGTTAATAACTACTTAGCCCGGCTCTCTAGCGTAGTTGGCTAAACCGGATTGTGTGGAGACTGGGTGACGAACTCCTTGTGGTCCGGGTTCAATCCCGGGGGTAGGCATGTCTGTCAGTTCCAGCATACATACATGGACTCAGATGATTTAACTATTGGTGTTAATATTTCTACATTACAAGATCAAGGCCCTACAAGATGAACTAAAAGCTCAGAAAGAGAGTTCTGGTGTGGATAACCTGGAGAGAGAAATCGTCCAGCTGACACAGGAAAGAGATTCACTCTTGCAAAGACTTGAAGAGGCTGAGCATTCTTCTGAAGAGCTGAGGTCCCAGTATTCTTTGTTGACCAATCAGTGTAAGAGTTATTGTTTTGAATTTACTGCATTTATTTAGTTTTTTTTTTTAAATTGCAGAACATTTCTGTTCTCAAGTACTCAGTATAAAAGTAAAGGACCATTTTCCATTCCTTTCAGGTGTATTGGGGATATAGGGCTAGACCTGTATTTTATAGACCAAGGTGGGTGATGTGGTCAGCATCACGCCGGCAGCATTTACTTACTAGTACCCACTGGTACCCACTTATGGCTGGGTCAACCTGGGAGCCAAAGTCATTTTTGAAAGAAAAAAAAAAACCAGGAACTGAACCCACGACCTTCTGATCTGCAGGCGAGCTTCTACTCTTTAATTAGTGTTGAGCTCTGCAGCAATGAAATACTTCACTTTTTTTTCTTCAAAGTATTTATTTCACTCATTGGAACATAGGGCTCCTTGACTTTTTGTCATCCATCAGCTTTTCTTATTGGTATGCGGCTATATGTATGCCGACCTCAACAAGTTTAGTTTATTTGTTCCATATAGGATTCTGTTAACCATGTGCAGCATTTAAGCTAAGAGTTTAGTTTGTTTACCAGTAACCATGTGGTGCTAATATGTAGCACATGGAGTTTATCAAAAAGTAGAACACCATTATAAAAAGACACAGTGAGTGGCAACAATTTTTTTTCTTAAAATAATTTTAATTTTATACTGATAAACACTGTATTTCCTGCATGATGTCTTACTAATCTTTTATCAGAATATAATTCCTATTTTACTGTATACAGCATAACATTGCAAACAAATATACATAAAGATAAACAGTTGCAACAAATATTTATAGTATTACTTAGGAATTATTACATCAAGGAATTTTTTTTTTGAAAGTTGCTTTCCTTTATTTCTTTTATTTAAAAGTTGATGTTTCACTGCATATGGTGCAGAGAGGGGTTACATGTAGTTTCTTGTCTTTTGCTAGTTGCACAGCTTGTGTTAATGTCGTACTGCATTTCTTCAGTGTCTAAAAAGGTAAAGTCGGGAGATGTGAACCAGCATCAAAAAACACATTATGGGCAACGTATTTCAGTTTATGAGTAAAGATGCTGTTCATGAAGCAGACTATCTCAGTTTATCAGATCACTAAGAATGTCAGTATTTTTTCTTCTCAGTAAATACAATAAAAAAAAAAGAAAAAAGGTTTATTGGCTGTCAACAATGGATAAAGAAATCAATAATCATTTAGGATCATTTCACAGCATAAAGTGTATTAACAAGAATATGTACAGTCCCCAGATTTTTTTCAGTTAAATAGAGGTCATATACGGACATAAATATTCAGTATGAAAGGGATCACAGTTGGTAGCCGTAATATAAATAGCTTAGCTTTTTGTGCCTGCGGGATATTTCTCTTTGTGAAAGAGGTTATTGAACTCCTTTACCCCGATAGGTCTCTCTGCTATCCATTACAAATCCACAAAAACCTGAAAATTGGCTTTGATGCATTCACCAGTCCTCTTTGTAATCGCACTCATGCTTTTTGCAACTCTGCAGTATTTAGGAGTATCTGATCATAATTACTTTAAAAAAAAATTAAAAAAAAAAAAAAGCATTTTGTAAAAAAAAAAAAAAATAATTTATTTTTAGATATTGTGAATCATAATGACCTCATGATTTTCATTAAGCTGTGACATAGCAAAGAAGTCAAAATACGTATCACTATTAATTTTTGTAAGGTCTAATTCTTTACTTCAACAAATTTTATTGATTACTCTCCTTTATTTAATTCAAGACAAAAAGTGTTTATATAAATAAATACATTAAAAAATAATTTAATAAGTATCTGTAAAATGGTTGTGTAAAAGAATTTTTTGAGAATTGCCAGCTTATTTTGTGATTTTGGGACAAAAGCATGTAAGTTTAATTAACTTTCTATGCCATTTTGATGAATTATTTCTTCAGCGATTAGTGTCCCCTGTGTGTGAACAGACCATAATACCAAAATATTTACTAAATGTAACACATTGCTTTGTTTTCACTTTTGGCAGATGCAGATCTTGAGAAGAAGTATGACAATGTCACCAACATAGTACCACCAAGGCCACCTCCACCACCTCCACCTCCACCCATTTCAAAAACTGGAGGGTTTGTACATCCATTTTTCTTTATAGGATTTTGCTCAAAATTATCCTGTGTATTACATTAATACAAGTTCAGTTGAGACATTATTTTACTTGAATTATTATTCATTGAAACAAGAATTGATATCTCTGTCCATTATACCTTTCTACGTGTGCACTGTCCCCTTGTTCAGTAGCTAATGAAGAGTTCTCAGAATTAGTTTGGAATATAGGCCTAGAACGGAGCTGCGGTAGTGCAGTGGCTAGATGCTCGCTTGCCTTCTCAGAGGTCTTGGGTTCAAATTTGCCAAAAAAAATTTTTTTCAAACTGTACCTGAGCTCCCAAGTCATCCCAACCTGAAGAGGGTATCAGGTAATGTTTTAGGAAGTAAAGGCAGCCAGCATGATGTTGACTGAATCCCCCACCAAGTGCTGATTGGTCTGCACACATTTTATTCTAGCATCTTATGCCCTATATGTCATAATGTTCAGGTCCAGACAGAATTATCCTTTTTTAAATGATCTTGACTTCCAGGTTGACCCAGCATTAAATAGGTACCAGGTGAAGTCAGGGGAAGTCAAGACCCATATCACCCACTGAATGCCGATTGGTCTGTTAAATATAGGTCTATCACTATAACCCTAATAGGACTGAAGGTATCATAAGCCGAGTATGCCACTGGCATAAAAAAGGGTTCTTTACTTTTATGCACTTGAAAACTTGACTCTTTCAGGGGGACATTTTGTCCTGGGGTTTGGACAGCATTAATTTTGAGCGGATGTTTTTTCTTAGTGCAACATGACAGCACCAAACCCTTCCTGAAGAAAAAGTATTGGCTGTATTATCCTCATCATGTAGCAGGTCCTTTGTGGAAAGTCACTCTCATCATGGTCTGACTGAAAGAAAATCTGGTCTCTCGCCAGCTCTCCGGCCTTGTGTACTTTCACACTCAAGGAGTCACTTATATCCTGTGCCCATCTTCGTGTTGGTCAGCCCCTGCCCCTTGTTCCTGGTACCAGGCCTTCTGCAATTATTTTTTTCCAATCCTAACTGTGAGACATATAATATATCAAATTAAAGAGAAATGAGTGCAAAATAAATCTAAACTATTTAAATGTCGCTATTGCAATACAATATTATTAAAATGACATAATATTCAAGGAAATTCCACACGTAAAAAGAATATTTACACACAAAAATGTTTGTGGTTTCTAACTTTTACTTGTTCAGCAACACTGCTATCTATTTTTTTTAATTCACATGCCTTCTCTATTAAATTATTTATCAGCTAGTCTTCATTTGAAACAATTAACATCAATGGTTTGTATGTTATGACCAGTTTTGTATGACACGTCCTGATTTCATAACAACTGAAATTGGGAAAACAGCTGATCCAAACAGATGATCTGATTGAAATATTTTGTTCAATTCTCATCCTAAACTTTGTAGTTTAACTTCGACCAAAGTTCACATATAAGTGTACATTTCTTTTACTCAGGTTTCTGGCTAAAATTACAGGAGGAAAGAAAAGGAAAATTCAGCAACAGTGTATGTATTATTTTGAAAAATTTACTTCTGCTCATTAAGGTTATGACTTTTCTGACATTGTAATTGCCATGAGATGATGTTTTTTTTTTTTGTATGTTCAGTTGACGATATGCATTGTCTTTTTTGTGTGCAGTGAATTTTGTGTCTCAGCTTGGCAAAAGATGCTTAATCTGTCATAAGATCATTTCTGATGACTTTAGGTGGTGTCATATCTATAACTCTTGACTTCTTTTGTCAAGTTTAATACTTCTTTTTCGGTTTCTTTCCAGCACATGTGCTTTATATTCTTTTACAGTTTTTTATATTCATAATCCAGATTTATGTTTAATATTTTAATTTGACCCTAAGAAAACTTATATTTCTCTACTTTTCCACTGACAATAACAAATATGAGAAACATATATGAAATCCCTCACAAACTTTGAATATCTAGGCTCTATAATAAACAACAATGGATACTGTTTGACAGAAATTAAAGGAGGATGGCAAAAGCAATGCAAAGATTGAACAGCCTTAAAAGTCTATGGTTAAGCACCAGCAAGGAGATTAAAAATTAGAATTTTGAGAGCATGCATCTTCCCTGTGGCTACATACGGATGTGAGTCGTGGACTATCTCCCAGTCCTTAAAAAAGAGAATAGGGGCTTTTGAGCTGAAATGTTATAGAAAGATTCTCAGAATATCTTGGGCAAAGAAGATGAGAAATATTGACATCTTAAAAGATCTGAACATCAAGGAAGACTGGCTAATAAACAGCATCCTTTCTCGAAAATTGAAATATTTTAGTCATATCAGGCGCCACGATGGATTGGAAAAAATTATAGCAGAAGGCATGGTACCAGAAAGGAGGGGCAGGGGCCGACCGACACGAAGATGGGCACAGGATATAAGTGACTCCTTGAGTGTGAAAGTGCATGAGGTGGGAGAACTGGCGAGAGACCGAGTTTCTTTCAGGCAGACTGTGATGAGAGCGACGTTCTGCAAAGGACCTGCTACATGATGATGATATGAAATCCCAGATGTGAATATGTAACAAACTTTGACAGGATATTAGTGACTGTCTTTTCAAACTGAAGACACAAATGAAGTGAGTTCAAAATATGAAAAACGGGATCCGTAGCCTTTCTGTGCTCAAATCTCAGCTGAACTAGTATTCATAATCCAAGTCTTTTTAACTATTACCAACTTTTGTGGGTTATGAATTTTGGATTTGTATTTTCATTCTATAAAGGTTGGGCCAATTTAATGAAAAACAAATCTACATTCAAAATATATTTATTGTTTTGCTTCTTCCTGGTATAAGACATGAGGACTATGGAGCAGATGTACATTGTTACTGCATCATCAGAACCCAGCACACAGTAAAACGGTTGTACACACAAAACTCAGGTCCAGGTAAAAGCCAAAAGTCCAAGCGGACGATTAACCGGGACCTTCCGTTGGAATTCACAGCCGGTGAACGAAGAAGAACCCAGCACGATAGCAGATACAATATAAATTTTAAAATATGAAATTTTATATGGCTAATAGAATTTCAGTTTATACTGTGTGGTGGTTTCTGAATGTAAGTATACTTTTCTTAGTGTGTTTACATTTGTGTATCTTTTAAAATGATACTTTAGAAAAAAAAAAAGATTCATATTGTGCAACTGGGAAAAGCCCCTTTAAAAAATATCTTGTGGCCATATGTTATGTTTCATGTGGAATTAGTGATGCAGATAATATGTTAAAAACTGAGATTAAAAAAAATAAAATAAATTCTGTCAAGTACAGTTAAATGCAAATGTGCTTTGAGTTAATTTCTAATTTTTTTTTTTTAAAGTGGCACTTGGTGGAGCTGAGGTCAGCAAGGATTATTCAAAAGCAGTTGATGAGATGATGAAACGAATTAAACAAGGAAATATTGGCTTAAGACCTGTACTCAAGAAAAGAACAGTACGTTTTTGGTCTGTTTATTACTGCATGCTTGAATAACTTTATATTACCTGCCTGGCATTTTTAAATATTTAAGAAATATCATAATCTTTTGGGAAGAAACATAATCATAACTATTTGTTAGTTGTGCTATTGTATTAAATATATTTACCAGGCCTATTGCAGATTTTAAAAAATAAATGGGCTTCCATACTGACCAAACCTCTAAGTGGTATCAGGGAATAATAAATGGCTGGTGTGTTTTTAACCACATCACCCACTGAGTGCCATTGTGTGTTTAGCACCATACACCTGATGCAATATCGGGCAAGACAATGCTGCTTTTCCAGGCGTATTGCTAAGTATCAGATTTAGCATTTGCAAAAGACAGATATCTGTTGGATGAAAAAACAGATGTGACTTACTGCGTTTCAAGAAACTTAATTCACAGTCTATATATGGTACTCATGGTAATTTTAATGATTACCATTATATTTGCATTATGGTTCATGATTAAATATTCTTTTCAATTCCTCATGAAGTTTTTGGCTATCAATACAGTCCACAATAGAAGTTAGTACTGAAACACTTGACGGGCATCAAAAGCTTATGTCAAAACTCTTATCAAGGGAGAATACAAGAAGTTGTGGAGAGAACAATTCAACAGTAAATATCCACAAGACCCCATCAGCATACTCAACAGGAAGCAACATACAACAATTTCCCATCTACGAACAGGACACTGCAGGCTCAACTACCACATGCATAAAATAAAGATTGTACAGTCACCACAGTGTGCAAGTCAGACAGGACAACGAACACATGGGCACATTCTGCAGACCTGCCCACTTTACCTACAACTTTGATAAGAAACATTGCTTGAGTGGATAGTTGTATTAACTAATACTATTGCTACATCGGACCATACATATTAAAAAAGCCACAGTAAATAGAATTAGAGAATGAGGTAAAAATGACTGGGAGAACTCTCACTGTGAACTGTACTGGATGGTAAAGGATAGGATAATATGAGTTAGTCGAGGGCCTACATTTAATTAGGCAATAATGGACACTAAGAAGAAGAAAAATAAACAACATAATGTTTACTTTTGTATACTGCATGGAGACATATATATATACATATATATTAAATGCTTCTTTTCCCCCAGAGCAAGTGCTTATTTTGTAACCATATTATGATCATTGCTTGCTTATTTGTAAACATACATCAATTTTAACCATACATTCATTCATTGTAGCCAAGCATTCTTGTTTCATTATTTAACATTTCTATACATTTTAAAACTGAGTAGATGCCATACACTAAAACTAAAGGTATATGAAAATATAATTTTTGTGCTTCCTGTTTAAAATAGCTTGTTACTAGCATTTTATTAACTGACTTCAAACTTGATTAAAGGCAGGTGGGGATTTTGGTGATGACACAGATTGTATGCAGAAGATATCAATGGTAAAAAGTTCCCTTTTAATTTTTAGACATTCCCTGTTTTGCATGATGCATGCTCCATGGTTGCCCTGAAGTGATATGTACTCCTGATTTACTTTTTCTTTTTAAATCAGACTGAATTATTGTTTTCTGACAATATTTAACATTTTGCATTCATGAAATGCACATGATGCCTTCTTAAGCAGAAAAGTTGATGATTGGAGTAGCTTTGTTTAGGGTTTTATGCATCATTATGTGTCATACTTATCTTAAGTGGGAAAAGCATTTTGTTTTTTTTTAAAACAAGGAAGTAACCATGTGTTTGCTAGTTACTCATATGTAATGATCAGAACTCGAGTCAAGTGTCTTGGGAGTCGCATAATTAATGGCTTGCGAATCGATTTGGGGTTTTGTACAGCGACTTACAACTTGACTTATGACTTGTAGCTTGGTATGACTTATTACTTACAGCCAGCCACTTTGAGGTTTAATGATCAAATAAAATAATAATAAAATAATTTGACATCTTTTCAGTTTTTAGCAAATTTATTTAAATAACAACTCCAGTATGCAGTTGTATGCATTCAGTTTAGCTATATGCATACAAAAATCAAAATTCATCAATTGTTGGCTGTTGTTTTGGAATCATAATGTAGTTTATAATCCATAAACACTTTCGATTGTAAATGACTTGATATATGAAATGACTTGACTCAAGACCCAACTTGGTAGCATTGTTTGGTGAATTAGACTTGGTTGGGACTTGGTGGCAATGAGTTGCGACTCGACTTGAACTTGTAGGGTGACAACTTAGTCCAGCTTCTGATAAGGTTTACTTTTCTCAACTCTATGTACCCTTGTCCAGGTGCTACAGAACCGCTCTGTCCCAATTATCACTTCAACTCCATCTCACCCATGATGTTATAATGTTAGTTTTTCAAATCAATGTAGTCATAAGTTAAACTTAAAAGATGTGAGTTAAAATCAAACTCAACTGGGACTGTAAGTTATATCTTTCAGTACCAGACGTATAATTTATTCAACTCATTCTATCCCATAAAGTTATTACTGTAATTAATACAGTTTTAGTTCAGAACATGTTAAATTCATAGCACTGTGAGAAAGAATGGATTAAAGTAACATTTGGAGCAGTGGGCTCTTGTAACATCTGGAGGTGGCATTAGGTTTTGATTTGTACAAAGAGTGTTATTAAGTTAAAAAACCACATACGTAAAACAAAACCAAGCTGCAACTACTTAATGTAGACAGACAGGTAATGATAAATAATGAACAATATTCTTAATAGATGAGATAAAGTGGCTGGATCTGTACCTTTGGTTGGTGAATTGATACACGACAAGGCAGATGTGGTCAAAACCTTTTGAGAACAAGTAACAAAGTCGGGAGAGAAGCTAGATTATTATGGCCTAGAGAGAATGATGCACCTGGGTGTGGCCAGAGGGTCTGGCCAGCTCACTACACTCAAAGGAGAGGTGAGACGGACATATAACCAGAATACAACTGGTACCATTAGTATAGGAACTCTGTGCTGGCTGCTTAAGATGTGTATGGAGCTTATATGGGAATGCCCCTAGTGTTGTGATGTCAATTGTTGACTCAACTCAGCTCAACATAAAAGATGAAGGTTAATAATATGTTTGATCAACAATGTTCACAAAGGTGAAATCATGCACATATTTAGGTAGAAATGTAGGCATATTTGGATTGGGTGGCGGGGGACAGATTGTTGGCATATTTCCATATTTATGAATGAAAGTGTCATACTGGGGTCTATGGTTATGGTGAGTTTGACTAGCAAGACCTGCACTCTCATTAAGAAAAGTCTCCCACAACTAAAGCATGGGATTTCAGGATCATTGTTGTCAAGGGGTGTATTTAACATGTTTCTTCTGAGACTATTCTGCAATCACTTTCTCCTGTATCTGTTTTCTCTTCTTAAATTGATCTTTGTATGCAACATGGTCCTTACTGTGCTGTTTTCACAAATCTGTTTCATTACCTTTATAAGTCATGTCTTGACTGCCATATCTTTATATAATAGTTGAAGCCAACCACTTTCTAGACATCTATTATTCAGTATAGAGGGTATATTTAATTCTTTTGAGGCATCCACTATAGAAGCTACTTAACTTTTCCACTTGGTATTTAAAAAAAACAAAGCTCAACAAATTTTCACTACCGTGCACAACAGTTACGAGAATGCAGGCTTGATAGACAAGGATTTTTTTGTTTTAACCATGAGCTGTCTGTTTTCCCATTCTCTTTTCCCATACTCTTTTTATCAATCTGCTCATTGTTGCTGCTGTACCTATCATGTTGATTCTTGGTCCAGTGATTGTTAGTTATCAGGTATGTAAAAGGGTCAATTGTCTCCAGCTCTTCACCATCAATGAAGACTGTAGCTCCAGCATTAGCACCTTCTTTTATGTGATCATCAAGTACCTCCTTACCTTGCCAACCTGTAGGGTGATTATGTCCTCTGCATCTCATAATCTTCACCAAATGTTATCACCACTTTAATATGTAAAACAAAGTAATATGATATACAGTTTCATTTATGATAGTATTTTATGTTTTAACCATCATCTGTCACAGGTGTTTTTGTGTGTGTGTGAGAATTTTGCTCTCATCAAAAACCATTAAAAAGGCTTTCAATCTCAGTATTTAGAAACGTTTGAAAAAAAAAATGAATTTTATATTTGTTTTACGTTGCATGATGCATGTAGTAATACGCTCATTTATTTTACAATTTATTTGCTCATGATATTTGTGGAAATTTGGACTATCAGTGGAATGCTCTTGTCTATCTCTTGAGTTAACTTATTCCTTTTGCAGTCGCCTTTGTTGTTGAAGTAACTTTCAGTAAAACACAAAATGGTTTGTGTTATTATTAAGCAGTGCATTGCATGACTAAACTTTATATGCAATTGTGTAGTGGTTAGCTACATAAATTTACTCCCTATGTGGGTTCTAGGGCCCTTGCAGGAGGGGGGGGGGAATAAACCCACTGCTCCCTAACAAGTATGTCATGAAAGTCTATGAAGTGGGGGGGGGGGGGGGGGGTGTGTGCAGATTTATTTGAAGTCAGAGTGAATCTGCCTGAGAGGTGAGGAACCAACAGTCTGCATACAAATAAGTCAGATCTAAACACTCAGGTTCTTTAACAAGACCAAAGTCCAGAAGTGAATGAACAACCAGAACATTCTACTGGAGTTTGCAGCCATTGCACATTAAGATCATTCCTATACCTCCCAATAGCACAATATAACACCTGAAAAGATGGAAAGTTGCCAACTAAATATTCCAGCTGCATTTTTGTATATATTCTGATTATAAATATTGTATTAATCAACTGATTTTGTTGACAGTTATTGTTTAAATATACATTTATATAAAAATAGCTGTTACTCCTCTCCCACCCTACTCCTATGGTAAGTTACCTATGCTTGCAGTACCTTGGCAATACTTAGATGATTAAAATTGTTGCTAAACTATCAGTCGGTCAGTCAATCAGTTTGTCCTCTCCTGCCTACTACCTAAAGATTTACCACACCATTCTGAGATTTAAAAATCTCAGTCTGGATGACAGACCAAGAAGGCCGATTCCAGATACCCCATTCAACCTTTTTTAAACTGCCTTCTTGTCTATATATAGCTGGATTTCATAGAAAGTTGTGCATATTTTCTTGGTTTACATTTTTAATATTGCAAGTTTCATTCATAAACACGGTATTATTTTTCTAATGAATTTGTAGATAATGTAAAGCATTTATGTTTTGTTTGTTTGTGAATACCAGCAATTATACCCTGCTAAAAGAAAAACATAACTAATTTAATGGATCAAGAGCAAGTGGATAGATTATTTTTTTTTTCAATTCTGAAGGCTGGAATGTAATCCACAATTATAAAAAACACAGCTAATTAAGTAATATAAATAGCTTAGTGTGGCAAAATGAAGTAGTCATTGTCTATACATTATTGATGAATGTTCTAAATTGTAATTTAAACTATGTTAGTTCTTGTGTTTTGACTTGGGAAGTGGGGAAGGTGAGAGTGGTAGTCTGGTGATATTATAATCCACATTCTCAACTCATGATCCACTTCATGAAATTTCTAACATTACATGTACCTTTATCATCACTTTTCCTACCCACAGTGGACTGGGGGTTACCTAAAGATGGTGCAGGGATGATAGTTAAAAAAACCCTGTACAGGCCTGTGGTGCAATGGGCATATGAGGCTGAACTTTTAGATGAATCAGCCCTTGATGGGTGATGTGTGTGGTAAATATTACACCGGCCACCTTTACTTCTAAGGACTTTACCTAGTACCTATTTAAAGCTGGGTCGACCTGGGAACCAGGGAGACTGTTATAGGTGACAACAGGAAAACAACAATCCTGATTCCATAAGCTTTCTCTTAATTATCTTTCACTTCTGGGAGAAGAGACTACTCTCATGATGATTTGTTGATTTATATTTCTTTCCTTTTCATTAGAATTGTTCATAGCTGACTGATTCAGTTTAACCCTTTCATCTCGAGAAGCCATAAAAACATAAATTTCCGCTTAGGTCCAATTCCCTGTAAATATCACTTTTGTGACTTGTCTATACTGACCTACTTATGAGACACACAGTTAATGCTATTGGCTGTTTCATGCCTGCACAAACATTTAGAAAGTCAGGATATTAAAACTTAAACTAAAATTTAGGATGTTTCTTCACACACACACAAATGGTTTAATTGAAGCCTAGCTGACTTGAAATTTTCTATGAGCCTCAAGGTTAGAGATCACAGGGTCCTGGTGTGAGTTGCCCGATACATAATTTTTTCAGGGCCCAGGTAATGTATTACATTTAATGCTTCGCACTGTTAACATTTATTTTTTATATTATATTGCTTCCTTCATATTTGTTTATGTATTTTAAAAATAAGAACAACATGTAGATAAATACATTTGTAACTAATTTATTAGTGATGTGTTAGAAATAAAACACATACATTTTTCTGGAACTCCAACTGGGTCAGACTTTAAAAAAAAATGTTTCTGAGGCAAGGGGGTTCAGATTTTGATGTAATGGGGTAGTTAGTTCTATCTCAACTTTCCTTATTAATCACATCTTCCAAAGTGTGTGGTGAACATTAGTCTTCCTATTCTGTGCTTCTGTTGTGAGGCCAATAACATCTAGCAAAGTTTTGTTAAATTATTACTAATTAAATATAAACTTGTGTTTGGTTTTAGTTTTTCATTGTATGTTTTGTGCCACATTTCTATCACAAACAGTTAAAAAAAATTATTATCATGGTCATATGCAAGATTAGAATTCACTTACATATAAAGTAAGTTATAATATAGTTTGAATATGAATTTATATTTTATTAATCCCTAGAAATCATGCCCTGAAGAAGAAGAAGATGGGAAGGCAATGAAGGAGTTACAGAACATTCTGGTAAGACTTATAAATAATATTTACTTTTTACTGTCAGAATCTGAAAGAAAAGTTAATATGCTGTTTACAAGAAAGTGGATGCAGATGAGAGGTTGCAGCTTTATACTGAGTTTCATTCCACATGGTCCAGTCTCTCTCAGAAGAGCCGATGGGCACCTGCAAGTGTTGCACAAAGCATGAACCCTGTAGCTCCAGCAATTACCCCAGTGGTCTTCAAAACATCTGCATTCAGAAACAGAAGGATGGAGTTAGAAATTGAACCCACAGCTGTGAGGCTGAAAACTTTATGCTGTAATTCTTTCATGTTTTTGTCAAATGTATTCATTTCAATCAATAACATGAACTCATTACAATCACTCAATGTTTCTACCACCACAATTTCTCAAGACAAGTTATCCATATACTCATTAACTCATCCTAATACCTTTAGTTTACATGAATTATAATTAGAAGTCAATATTACTTTTGCGTTTGAATATCTGTTGTTTACTATGCAGCTTTATTGTTGTTTGTTTCTTAGAACAAAATGAAAAAAGCCCGCAGTGAAGAGGACTTGGCCGCCATGGAGGAAAATACTCTAGATGAAAATTCAGAGCTTGCTTTGGCTTTTAAGAAAATTCAGCGTGCCAGGCAAGGTAAGGCATTTTTAACTGCTCACATCTTTTTGCCCCTGAATCGTTCTACACTGGTACCTGGATACAGATTTTTCAGGATCTGAGTCAATGTTGCCATATTGTGTGTGTGTGTGTGCCCCGCATAATACAGGGCGAAATCCAGGATGTGAGCTAGAGAGAGAAAACTCTTGGCATTCTGACAGCATCTGGATAACTTTTAAATGAATAAGGTAACTTTAACATTGCCAAAGGAGGATTGAAGCCAGTCAACAAAACAGTTGATGATGATGGGCTTTAGTATCATAGACTGCCGGAGTTTACAGCTAGTGAACGCAAAAAAGAAAGAAGATCATCATGATCGAAATTGACCCTATTTTCTGCTGCCATTTAAAATATTAAAAAAATTTAAAAAAAACACCATACATTTTCCCCCATAAGAAATAATTTTGAAAACTGTAGGATGATTTTTCCAGGATTGGAATGAGTTGAAATTATAAAATTTTGATTGTAAAAATAATTTCAGGATGTGAGTTATTCCCTATATAAGCTCAGTCATGAAACTGGTTAGATTCACATTCTGAGGCTCCACTGTAATCAAATTATAAAAACAAAGTGTATTAGTACATAATGCTAGTCTTATATCTTTAAATGCCTAAATGCCAATTAGCACTTGACATGTGGTCAGTATCTCACCAGCTTCCTTGTTTTCACAGAACCATTTTTATTTTTCAAGTTCTTACTTTACAGTGAAATTTGCATACATAAATCCATCTGGCAGATATAGATGCTAGCCACTGAACTAGATGTATCACAGCTCTAGTCTTTAACTGGATACATAGTTTTCTTGTCAGGAAAACCATTGATAAAATTGAAACCAAACAATGTCATGCACAGATATAAGGCAATAAATGAATTGAGGTAACCTTTCATAAAAACCTGGCCCACACAACCTGTGCTTCTGGATATATATACTTATTACATCTAAACAATGTAGATGTACAGAGAGAAAACAATTAATAAAACACTGTAGACATTCAGAGAGAGAGAGAGAGAAAGAGAGAGAGAGAGAGAGAGAGAGAGAGAGAGAGAGAGAGAGAGAGAGAGAGAGAGAGAGAGAGAGAGAAAACAGTTCATCAAACACTTAGACATTCAGAGAGAGAGAGAGAGAGAAAACAGTTAATCAAACACTGTAGACATTCAGAGAGAGAGAGAAAACAGTTAATCAAACAATGTAGACATACAGAGAGAGAGAGAGAGAGAAAACAGTTAATAAAATACTGTAGACATTCAGAGAGAGAGAGAGAAATAGTTAATCAAACAATGTAGACATACAGAGAAAAAAAAAATAATCAAACATTGTGATGTACTCCTGTAATATACTGATATGTACTTTTCCACTGATAAGTTTAATGTGCTTTTAGTTACTATCTAAGGCTATGCAGGGATAAAGTAACATGCCGGTAAGTGCATGATCTTTTAGCACAGAGGTTAAGGTTCAGTTCTTATTGGCTGGGAAAATTAATTTCTGACCTAACACAGCATTGTTACTGATACAGGCTAATAAAATAAATACTGGCAGTTTTTTGGAATGAATTACGCTGGGGATGCTTATGGCCAAAAGTTGCCAATTACTGCCTGTATTTACCACTTTTGCAGTGTAGTCTGGGGGTCTTTCAGCCTGAGGGTTTAAAGCCGCATGGCTAGTGCAATTACCACAGACAGTGCAGGTTATAATTTTATTTTGGCTCCCAACAGACAAAATCCATGAATATTTGAACCAGGATCTCTTATGTCAGAGCCCAGTGCTCTTAACCATTTATTCAGCCACTCCTGATGTACCTATTACTTCACATATATTACTATGGCCTTGTATAAGTGACAGCCTGTCACATAAGATCTACCACAATTTACAATGTGGAATAACTTTTACATTTTTTATCATTCCAATTCACAGACAAAAATGACAAGCCTAGACCTGCACCAAGAAATAAATTGTCCAGCATCACAGATGAGCAGGAGCAGTAATATGATGACTGCCGCTGGAGTAAAAACATATGTCCCATTACTGGAGCAGTTTTACATTGTGCAGAAGTCATTTCAGTTTTGAATCCTTGTTTCAATAAAATGCTGTTATAGCTTTGAGATCAGACAAAAATTGTATAGTTGCATGAAAGTACTACTTCATTCTACCTATATGAAGTAGGAATTCACATGTGTGTCTTTTGCATTTTTGTAAAATGACAAACAATAGTCCTGAAAATGCATTTGGATGAAAATCACCACAAAAATGCACATAGGTGACTTGGTATAGGGTTAAAGATGTTCTGCTGTTGGCACAGTAATGAAAACTTAGTCCTTTTACTGAAACTTATTTTGGAAACTGATGTCTGTTTCTGCAGTAGTAATGTAAACTGATGTCTTCTTACTGTGTTTACTATGGCGGTAGTGAAAACACATGTCCTATGACTGGTTTAATAGTGAAAACTGATGTCCTATCACTGAAGCTGTAGCAAACTTTCTATTCCTAGAGCAGAAGAGCAAACTTGTATGTGTAAAATCAACTCACAGCAATGTAGTAGTTTTGTACTGCTTATTATATTCAATATGAGATCAAACACACACATACCCACAAACACCACACGTTTATTGACTCACATGTGTACACATTTTGCTTTTTTTTTAATGCTAACTCCAAACATTATCTTATATAGAAACATATAATTGTCTTGCTTTAGTTTATTTGACTGTAAATTATCTATACCTTCAAAATACCCTTTTTTATGATGTGAGCATTTACATTACATGGGTGTTGGTGTCCATAAATAAAAAAAAAAAAAATTAACAGTTTACTGCCCTACCCTGTCTAGACTTCAGATTACCTTGTAACTGTCAGGGACACTAATAAAACCTTAAGGTTTGAACAGTGTTTTATGGATTTGTATCTGGGATATTCTCAATGAAGCACTGCACTTTGGGTCACTGGGTGTTAATTGCTGGGTGTATGGTCCTAGTGGGGTAAATAATAAATATGTTTCATAATCATCCTTGTTAACAGCTTATATGATATTTTACTTTTGAATGTTTTAAATAATAATTTGACATGTTTTTTTGAATTACAGTGTTAACTAATGACAAATCAGTTCATTTGTATTGCTTAACAACAGATTAAATTTAATATTGTAGGCATTTGAACAAAGAAGATACAAACAATAGATTGCACAATTTATTGCCTGGCATATTTCCATACTACTTAAACCCTTTCGCGGCTATGGACGAGATAACTCGTCTGCTCGGTAGACTGCTAAGGACGAGCTAACTCGTCTTCGACTTTTCTTACAGATTGCTAAGAGCAATGCTAATTCTGAAATCGCAATATACATTACCTAAATCTGATCAAATTGACACATTTACATACAGTGAAAACATATTTTACGTTCGTTTAGGTGTATTTAGATGCATTTCACCTTATCCTGTTGCTTTGTTACCATAGAAGCATGGTCGGTGAATGGTAATTTTTTTGCCCTGAAATATATTTCTGGTTTTATGTTAGTCTACTGTTTTTAAAAAAAAATACAAAATAACAAGAAAATTGGTAATTAAAGTTAATGAAGAATTATTGGAGTTTCTTTCAATGATTAATAGTAAGGATCACTTTAAAACGTGTGTTATATGAGCTGGGTTATCTTCGCGACACGCCGGCGGACACGTGAGCAAGACTGACCATATGACCCAGCTATCTTCATCCACTGGATTTGAAATGGATCCCCAATAATCAAAATGAAGATATGGTCATGTACTGACATGATGATTAATATTATCGTTAACGTTTCTAATATACAACTGAAATAAATGTGTCTGTCTATCAAAGTGTACAATACTGGTCCTGTTTTCAGTTCTACTCTTCATATGAGTTTCTAGTGTAGTTGGTATCACGTCTGCGTTTAAAAAAAAATTATTTTAAGTTTTAAGCTCTTAGCACTTTTGGCAACAGATCACCGAAGTAATAATTAATTAAACATCCTGTCACTTGCGTTCAGGTGGATTTGGACACATTAAACGTTATCTTGTTCCTTTGTGAAGGATGGTTGGTGTACTGTGCATTTGTGGGGGGAAAACACTCCTGTTGCCAAATTTCACTTAATGTTAGTAAGAGAAATTCTACAGAAATATTGCAAAGAAAAAATGTAGGAGGAAAAAAAAAACTGAAGATCTGCCACTACAAAGGCATTTCCCTTCAATAATAGAGTCCGAAACATCACAGCAGAAATTCCCAACAAGAAAGTGTGTGGTATGCGCAAAAAGCAAAAAAAGACGACGGGAAACCAGATACATGTGTGCAAGGACTGTGATTTGGCATTGTGCGTCTCACCTTGTTTTGAAATAAGTAAAGTAAAGATCCCTTTACACGCCCTTAGGCGCATCGGGCATATGGGAAGAGCACCCATATTTTTCAGACCAATCGGCACTCTGTGGGTAATGTGGTCAGCATTACGCCAGCCGTCTTTGCTTTCCCAGGACAGCCCATCCTGGTACCCATTTAAGGCTGGGTCGACCTGCGACGTCCCATACCACGATAAAAATCCACGCAGCCCACGCAGGTTTCGATCGCGGTACGTTGGATTACGAGTCAGACTCGCAACGCCTTAGCCACGGACGCCGCCTGTTTTGAAATATGTCACACAAAAAGATATTATTTATAATAATAAAAACCATGTATTTGCTTACTAAAGTGTTTTGTGTTTGCTTTGTAAGTTTGTAGTGTTTTCTTTTTGTTAATGAGTTCTCATGGCGTAGCCATAGCGCGTTTGACTTGTCAGCGCAAAGGTCAACCATATGCCTTTGAAGATTTTTTATTTTAGGTCTACAATTTTTACCCCGCGCCGCAAGCGCGTCTTCTATTGGAGTGAAAAAAGGTATTCAGCACAGGAGGAAAGATTAGCACTCGCCTGGCTTAGCACAGTGGTTACGTTGGCTGGCGAAGGGCGCAGCAGCGAAAGGGTTAACAGCTGCCTACTACAGTAATTGTAGTATGCACCTGACAAAATACAGCGAAACATTGCTTTGAATGCTGGCATTGAAATGACATCAATATATATATATATATATATTGTGAATAACATGGTTTATAGCATTAGTATTTTTAATTAAACTGCTCTTTATGTTTTTTTATATAAATTTATTAACATTTGTTGATATTTGTGAATTTATGCTCAGACATTTTTTAGATCTGTGGCATATGCACATTTTTGTGCATGATTGAAACAAGTCAAATTAGTTTGCTCTTTTATATTTCAATAAATACATTTTTTACATCAGTATCACTATCAGAGTTGAAATTTTGGTGCTTTGTTATGAAAATGTGTGTGTAACATGACTATAGCATTGACCGCTGTAAACATAGTTTAGTCTTTATGGAGGAAGAGGAGAAAAGAAGTGTGTCTAGGATAATAAGTGGATCACAGCTGAACCATAAAAAAAGCAAAGGGAAGAAAAGGGTTCTTCTGTGCAGAGGCCATGAAATGAGTTAGACGGCAACAACATATAACTTCATAGGCAGCACCTAGCCAGACCATGTGCATGAAGTACAAGTTACATCTTGAATCAAGCAAATAAATATAACCATCACATTCAACACCTGAACACAGAACTAACATGCTTCACAGATAACAATTCATTAACAGTCAACATTGTGTTCACACAGACCATGTACTAAGTACTTCAGTTACCAATGAAAAAGTTTTTGCATGACAGCCCAGTGTTCTTAGCCTTTCGGCCCTTTTAAAATGTAGCATTTAAGTTCGTTTAAGTATGACCCCCCTCCATAAAATAGGTGGATGTACTTTGAAAAATGCATTAAAGCTGTGAAATAAAGTGGAGATGATCGACTTCATTGCAACTGATTTCATATGCCTGGATAATGCTCGGCTGAAGTACAAGTTGCCTACTGGCAGATACACACATTCATCAGATAGTCCTGCTGCCATTATGCACACATGTATGTCAGCTATTGTTTCAAAACACACACATACACACTGCAAATTTGACACTGGGATTTGCTTTGGGTAACGGATGTAGAGGCGGAAAGTTACAAGTATTTTTGAGGAATGTGACAGGTCAGTGGGTTGCAATCAATTGTACAAAACGTCTATAATTTAAAATCTCTACAGTAGTTTAACTACTAGCTGTGTACACAGGGCCGTGCCATGCTATGATACAGAGATGCAGCCGCATCAGGCGGCACTGAAAGGGTGGCATAAACAGTTAAATTAAAATACAGTTTGAACTGTTGATCTGATAGTGCGAAACTATTAAGGGCGGCATTTGGAAGACTTGCATCACACTGAGAAAATCTACTGTGTGAAACTGTACAGCAGATACTCCCCCCTTTACATGGATGTATGTAGGGTTTTTTTTATAGCGTTGCGGGGTGGTTGTTTTCTCTTCGGTCACAGCATGTGTGCTCACTGCGAAGAAGGAAAGTAATGCCAAACTACCTCCTTCGAGAGGCCCAAAAAAAAGTCATATATTTCTACTATTTATATTATTTCAGATATATCATGAAATGACTAAAATACAAACGAGGCCCTTCTCCTGCCGAGAAGAAAAAAAACAACAACCAATGCAGTCAGTGGGCATGTTATGAAAAGAACTGGACTTGAGAATTTGGTTACAACTGGCAAGATGGATGGCGTAGCCATATGGATAGGGCGAGAAGATAATATTGACCTGATACATGGTTCTTGTGATGGTGTAAAATGGCAAAACATGACCGTCTAAGCTTGGGGGCACGGCTCGTGCTCATGATGATGAGGGTGGTGATTAGCAACGCACTGCATCATCTCGGGTAGTTTTAACACCCGCTTCCGTCTGTAATTTACACATGGAGTTTATCGATCCGTCTCTTTGAAAATGAATGCTTGTTTATAATGGACCCTAGTTGATCAGGTACAAGCGGATTTGGTGACATTCATAGCGTGGGAATTAGTGTTGACATTTTCCGTTAATTCGTTTCCTGAATAATAATA